ATCATACACGTGTATGCATACAGCCACAGAGGCGTAATTGCAAATTTAGGTAAGCATGTATATTTGCGCATGTACTTATTCATGCATATGTAAGCATACTGAAATATATATATTAATGTATTGAATAAATTTGTATGCAGGTTACGTACACGGAAGTGCACACTTATTCACGTATGCAAGCATGTGTATGTTATGAACCTACGTATTTATGCATGGATGCATGTGAGTAATGCATGTTGGAGCACCTGTGTAGTCACGTGTGTACGACCGCCCCGACCTGACATGAGATTAACCCTGAGGACGCCAAAGTAAAATTAACAGACGAATGTGCTAAGCTGCATCTGGCCGTTAAAGTGACCCTTTGCTGCCTGCGGGGGTGTGGCTGGATATAAATGACACCCAGGTATAAACAACCCGACGGCTGGGAAATTTCCACCTCTGGAACATACGCTCCGCACTGCTATTCAGCGTCGGCGTGAGTCATCAAATGCGTGACAATGTGCAATGCAGTACTCTAAAAACGGAATTTCTATTGAACACGGGTGTCTCCCAAGGACAGGGCCAACCCCCGTGAACACGGCGCGGACCAACCCATCGATTCCGTGCTTCCAGGAACCCCAAACAAAGACCAGGCACCGCTGGCACTCTCACATCGCCGCCAGTACCATGAGAGAAGGGCCACGCGGCGATTGGTCTCCTGAAGGGCAGAGCACCTCGTCCCTTTTTTGCTTCTCTTCCCTCCTTGAAGACCCATTGGCTTGATGCCAGTCCTGCCCGCCCACTTGCCCACAGAAACAAAACGCTGACGCAATGCCCTTCCTAGAACCACGGCGAGAAGCTGCCATGAAAGTCGTCCATTCTCCCGAGTCTCCTTGCGACCCGTGACCCGTCCTGCCACGGAAATACCCGGACCCTCCCGCAGGCGCTTGGGAAGACTCCTGCCTTCGCAGAAAGCAAGACGGGTTCAAACCGGCGTCTCAACAGAACATATTTATGGACTGATAGCCTCTGCGGATCTCTAGTGCCAACATTCGAAGAGGAGAGCTCCTCAACGGCTCGGCCCGCACGTGGACGCAGAGGCGCAGAGCGAATTTGACTCCGACGCGAGTCCAAGTGAAACCACGACCACTTGCAAGTGGAGGAAAGGTATTGTGGAGGACTGGAATCGGTGGAGGCGGCGCTAGCAGTGGTGGCGACTAGGTCGGGCTCCCCACCCCACCACCATCCCCTGCCCCATCCCTATCTCCCCCTCCCTCGCTCCCCCACCACAATACCGGTGTGATCTGGTTCGGGCCAGCAGAAACCCCAGCGCAACCTCGGCCTCTGTGTAGAGGCGCCATTTTAAACACCACCACACTTTCCGCCCACAATTAACGCTCTAACAGCCTCACAAACTACAAAACAAATGCAGAGAGGGCAGAGAGCAGCGCAAGGCTTCCTTCCACCACTAGATGGCGGGGTCGGAGAGCGGGCTTGCTGGAAGAGCGGTCGCGCCGGGATGAAGCCAAAATCAAGAGTTCTTCTGGGCCGCGACCGTACCCCTGGCGTTTTTGTGCACCCCGGTTTATACGCACGCACACGTGTGTGTGTGTGTGTGTGTGTGTGTGTGTGTGTGTGTGTGTGTGTGTGTGTGTGTGTGTGTGTGTGTGTGTGTGTGTGTGTGTGTGTGTGTGTGTAGATAAGAAATATACATACATATACATTCTCATGCATATACATATATACATGTATATGTATATATGAATACATACATATACATTTACATACATATATATATATATGCATATACGTATACATACATACATTACATACATATATGCACATATACATATCTATATATACATATCTATATATATATAGATATATATAATATATATAATATATATAAATTATATATGTATATATATAATATATATATTATATGCGTATATAGACAGATAAGTAGACTATATATATATATATATATATATATATATATATATATATATATATATATATATATATATATATATATATATATATATATATATATATATGTCTACCTATCTGTCTATATATGCATATAATATATATATCATATATATCATATATATCATATATATCATATATATAATATATATACATATATATAATATATATACATATATAATTTATATATATATAATATATATATATTATATATGTATATATCATATATCTATTATATTATATATCTATTAAATATATTATATATATATATGTAAACAAACACACACACACACACACACACACACACACACACACACACACACACACACACACACACACACACACACACACACACACACACACACACACACACATAACTTCTTTCTTACTCTCTTTCTTTTTCCACTCTTTATTTCTCTCTTTCTCTCGTTCTTCCCACTCTTTCTCTCTCTCTCAATCTCTTCCCACTCTTTCTCTCTCTCTCTCAATCTCTTCCCACTCTTTCTCTCTCTCTCAATCTCTTCCCACTCTTTCTCTCTCTCTCAATCTCTTCCCACTCTTTCTCTCTCTCTCAATCTCTTCCCACTCTTTCTCTCTCTCTCAATCTCTTCCCACTCTTTCTCTCTCTCTCAATCTCTTCCCACTCTTTCTCTCTCTCTCAATCTCTTCCCACTCTTTCTCTCTCTCTCAATCTCTTTCCACTCTTTCTCTCTCTCTCAATCTCTTTCCACTCTTTCTCTCTCTCTCAATCTCTTCCCACTCTTTCTCTCTCTCTCAATCTCTTCCCACTCTCTCTCTCTCTGTCTCTCTCTTTTTCCACTCGCTCTCTCTCTCTCTCTCTCTCTCTTTCCACTCACTCTCTCTCTCTCTCTCTCTCTCTCTCTTTCCACTCACTCTCTCTCTCTTTCCACTCTTCTCTCTCTCTCTCTTCCACTCTCTCTCTCTCTCTCTCCACTCTCTCTCTCTCTCTTCCCCACCCTTTCTCTCTCTCTCTCTTTCCACTCTTTCTCTCTCTCTCTTTCCACTCTTTCTCTCTCTCTCTTTCCACTCTTTCTCTCTCTCTCTTTCCACTCTTCTCTCTCTCTCTCTCTCTCTCTCTCTCTCTCTCTCTCTCTCTCTCTCCTCTCTCTCTCTCTCTCTCTCTTCCACTCTTCTCTCTCTCTCTTTCCCACCCTTTCTCTCTCTCTCTTTTCCACTCTTTCTCTCTCTCTCTTTCCACTATTTCTCTCTCTCTCTTTCCAATATTTATCTCTCTCTCTCTTTCCAATATTTCTCTCTCTCTCTTTCCAATATTTCTCTCTCTCTCTTTCCAATATTTCTCTCTCTCTCTTTCCAATATTTCTCTCTCTCTCTCTCTCTCTCTCTCTCTCTCTCTCTCTCTCTCTCTCTCTCTCTCTCTCTCTCTCTCTCTCTCTTTCTCTTTCTCTCTCTCTCTCTCCTTCCACTCTTACTCTTTCTCTCTCTCTTTCCACTTTCTCTTTCCTTCCACTCATTCACTCACTCACTCAACTCTCTCTCTCACCTTTTCTTCACTCTCACTCATTTCGCTCACCCATGCCATCTTTCAACCTCTGTCCCCTTCCTTATTTCATCTCCAGAACGCAAAGACAATATACTGATGTGAAAAAGAGGGGAAGAAGAAGAAAAAAAGTGTTTCAATATGTTGTACTATTTGTATGTTTTATATACGTTGTATCCGAACTACCTTTTCCTCCAACGTCAAAATGTATGAGAGCTTCATATGCAAATATATGTATATAGATGTGTATGTATGTCATGTATGTGAATATGTATCTCCATCAATATGCATATATAAAAGTATGATTCTGAAACTTATACATATGCAGATATAATAAGAATAATATAATCTGACACTTATACATATGTGCATATATACCTATAATAACACCCAACATTATAACATAAAGCGATCATAACACATACTCTTCCTGTAAATAAAACTTAACAAAATGAAACAAACGATTTCTACAAACATAAAAAACCTCATTTCCTTTATCCACAGTTCGATCTAAAGCACCCAAACTACTGCCCCCTCACCCCACCCCCCTACCCCTTTACCCCTCTTCTAAACGGGTTGAACAAGTGAACATTGGCTCTCGGTTAGTCTGCCTCTCGCTCAGCAGCTCCAGCATACTTACTGAGAAAGTCGACCTCACAGTAACTCATTCGCAAAAAAAAAAAAATGTAGGACCCAAGTCTGCGTGGTCCAAATTAATTCCTTTATTTCGCCGCCTTGCTTTAAAGTGATTGCTTTATTAATTACTTGAATGGGGGTGTAATTATGTTTGTTTGTTTTTGAGTTGTGCGTGAAAATTTATTCTTTTGCTCATTTTTCTTATTTCTACTTATATAATAGTATCATCAATGATATTTGCAGTTCGTGTCATAAAAAGTTTAATATTTATAATTTGAAAAGAAAAGCAACTGATGTACACTAGAATACTACTATACTAATTTATAATAAAATATATATTAAAAAGCTGATGACATGATAATAAACAAAATAATTAAAATCACCAACAATCTTCTCGCAGTTTGTCATTGCTTACAATAATTCGGAATGACACTTGTACACTACACTTCTGTGAAAGATGACAACTTACAATATCGGTTACCTTTTACAGAAGTTGATAAACTACCCATAAGATCAATATACATAAATTTATTTTTTTTGTCTTTATATCTAACACCCGACGAGCAAATGAATAATCATTATTTTAACTAAGTTCAGTGTCCAAAAACAAAAAAACTACGAAACTAACCTAACCTAACTGAGTTTTAACGGCATATACAATTATCTGTATACTTTTGAAACCTGACATTCTCTAAATATCAATAAAATGTGCCTTTTAACAGTTACGGAACTCCTAACATCAGCAAAAAAGCGACAGGGTCTTTACAACTCGCAGGCGCGTACTAGCGGCTTGGGACGGACGGATAAAACGACAGAAATTAAGGTGCTTTTTTTAACGAACTTTACGGAGAAGTAAATTGAAAAAAAGACCTCTTACCTGTTGCTCTCTGAAGGTGTTGTTGTGCAGGTCGTCTAGTGTAGGACGGACGTTTCCACCATCGACGATCGAGTTGAGGTTCCTGTAATGGGACTCCTTAGGTAGGGCTTCGCGCGTAAGGTAATGGCGAAGAGACTTTTGGTACCTTGTCTCATACACGCTGTTGGAATGGGAATGCGTGGTGGGGGATAAGTGGCCCTCATCGCCACTATCCATGGCCGAAGCCACTTGAATCCGTGAACCGGACTCTAACTCAATTGTATCTGTCTGATCGTTACTCATGCTGCCGACTGACTGCAGACGACGCGCGCTACCTCTATTTATACTTTCGCGGGGTTCCAATACTGCGCAGTTGCCGGTATCATCTGTAATTTGTTTACTTACAAATAAAGTATTTCCGACGTGGATTTCTATTTTAAAGTTTTTATTATTTTATTATGACGTTTGATTTGTTATTAGCATTCGTGATCAATCTCTCGTAGCGTGAAATCCATCTTTATTTACTAAATCTCTATTCCAATAAAAGATAGCATAGACTTTTAAAGAAATAATAAACCCATACATTAAGAGATGAAGGCAGAACAATGAAATATAAAATATGATTTTACAATATCAAAATTATTCTAACAAAATACCATAAGATTTATTATAAAAACTCTAATAAGTTGTTTAAAAATATTTGAGAGAAGTTGCCATAACTTTCTTAACTTCCTAATTTCCATTAAGTTCTATTAATTGCACGCTTTTCATAACATACTTTAATCATTAAATTACGTATCTCTTTCTTTTTTCTATGCTTGGATAAGACATAATTTGGTTATGAAAAGTACTGAAATAAATTAAATAAAACAACTCATATACACGGAAACATCGAGTATTTGATATTGAAAAAAAGAGTTTTTTTCTTTTCTTCATGTGAGCTTGCATACAGATTACCTGTCCCAGTTATGCGAAATATTCTTAAGGAATACCCAAGAATAACAGTATGACGTATATCCCTTCAACGAAAAACATAATAGAACTGAAATTAGCATTAGGTATCCCAGACTACAACATTTCACCAACTTTCAGACGAGAAAATACAAACGCACAGAATTTTCCTAAAATCAAATTGTAGAATTCTGAGAAGGGATGAAAAAAAGGTATCGCACACGTACACACGCACACATCACACACATCTCTGTCTGTCTGTCTGTCCGTCTGTTTCTCTCTCTCTCTCTCTCTCTCTCTCTCTCTCTCTCTCTCTCTCTCTCTCTCTCTCTCTCTCTCTCTCTCTCTCTCTCTCTCTCTCTCTCTCTCTCTCTCTCTGTATATGTATATGTGCGCGCGCGTGTGTATGTGTGTGTGTGTGTGTGTGCGTGTGCTTCTAGATACGGACACATTTATATATATGTATGTACACACACACACACACACACACACACATATATATATATATATATATATATATATATATATATATATATATATATATATATATATATAAATCTTTGTATGTATGTATGTATGTATCTATTTATCAGTGTATCTATCTATCTATCTATCTATTTATCTATATATATATCAAATGTACACAAATATACTTATATATACATATATATATATGTATATTTATATACATAATATATATGAATATAAGTATATATGTATAACATATATAGATAGATAGATAGATAGATATATTATTCATCTATCTATATGATTATATATGTATATATATGTATATATGCATATACATGTGTATAAATATGTACATATATGCATATATATATATATATATATATATATATATATATATATATATATATATATATATATATATATATATATGTATACATATATATGTATGTGTGTGTGTGTCTGTGCATGTACACATGTATGTTTTGGCGCATGTGTGTATGTATCTGCAATTTCATGTATAATGAAAATAAATAAATACATGTATTATACATACATATATGCAAAAATAAATTCTAAATGTGTATATGATATTCATGTGAACATATATGTTTGTGTATGTGTATTACAATGGTTATATATATATATATATATGTACACACACACACACACAGAAATATATATATATATATATATATATATATATATATATATATATATATATATATATATATATATATGGGAGTGTGCTGATGGCTGCAGTTAAGTAGAAATGCGCGTGAGTGCTTTCCAGTTGCCCCTCACCCGCCTCGGCCTCGATCCCCGAAGCCCCCAGCAGAGCGTCCAGAATTCCCACGAGCTCTGCCATCGTACCCCCACCCCTCCCATTCCACCTCCCCCTGTGATATGAAACTATAATAACTTTTTTTCTGGATTTTCCAGCAGATACACGAGACCTCTGAAGGTCAGGGTCATCCTCCAGCAGAAGGCAGCGAATGCGGTCGTCCGTCGTTCTTCCCTACGGCTTCCGTGTCGCCGGTTCGCTGCTTTCTGCTGGTTACCCTTTTTCCCTGGAGCGTGTCCTGGAGTTGTCGCATTATATAAAGTCTGTTCTTAAGGGTATGGTTGTCGGCTCATTTAAGTGGGCCCGAGGATGAAGGGAGAGTCGTGTAAGAAAGGGGAAGATGGGGAGGGAAAATCGGTGGAGATTATCGTAACTGATGATAGAAGAGGAAGGTGGGTGAGAGCGGCATCAAGGACAGGCGGTACTCCACCTTGCTGGACACGAGCCAAGTCCACCTCGTACAGAAATATGGAGTGAAATCCAGCAAGCGCTTTTTAAATGCGTTCTCGTTCCCGACCACTTTCGAAAGCTCCTTCCGCGAGCAACGAAGTCGAGAAACCATATTCTAACTTTTCTTCTGTCTCTTTTCGGAAATGTCAATCCGTCTTTGTTTAATAACAAGACCCCCCAGGAAGGCAATGCTAATCGCCGCTCGACCATTCGTTCTGTATCAGAGGCTTCAGAAGAGACAGATAACAGACATACTCCAGATACCTTTGAAAAGGCATCCACGTTACGTTGAATGTCAATATTTACAGGCAAGAATTTTTACTCTTATCACTGTGGAATTACCTGGTCTGTTACGATGATTTTGTTATCCCTCAGTCATTCATAATTGCGTCTACTCACATCATCGTGTTGTTTGTTTGTGTAAACATCATCTGAGTTGTTAATCAGCTTGCTTCTGTTATTATTAACCGTGAGGACAGGGTTTGATATTAAACTGTGCAAATAGATTCATTACTTGTTTCGTATGAATAGTAATGCAATAACGCTGATGAATTATAACGTGTATGTGTGTATAATTGTTATAGTATTTGCTTACATGAATGTTACGTGTAATGACTATATCAGTCATATTTTCTTTAGTGTCACTATATACATAATGGGAACACACAGGAAGAAATAAACACACATATATGCACAGGCCTATATATACACACACGCGCGCACACACACACACACACACACACACACACACACACACACACACACACACACACACACACACACACACACACACACACACACACATATATATATATATAACATACATATGTATATTAATTAATTAATTTATTTATTTATTTATTTACATTTATATACATATATACATACATACATACATACATACATATATATGCATACATACATACATACATATAAGCATACATATATGATTTTGTGTGTGTGTGTTGTGTGTGTGTGTGTGTGTGTGTGTGTGTGTGTGTGTGTGTGTGTGTGTGTGTGTGTGTGTGTGTGTGTGTGTGTGTGTGGTTAAGAGAAAATACGGCAGACGAAGGAGCAGTAGCAGTTGGGCAAACGAGCAGGAGGGTCAGCAGAGAGCGTCGCTGACCGCGGAAGTGAGTTCCCACAAACCGAATCTGAAAGAAAACTTCTCTGGTTACGAGAGCGATTTCCTGTAAAAAAAAAAAAGAAGAAAAACTCAACAATAAAATGAAATACAAATAGTAATATACCGTGTTTACGTACATCTCACGGCTAAAGGATGGAATACGTTTGTGGACACGTGAAATTAACATCAATCAGTTAATGAGGACAGATAATTCTTGAGATACGAGAATGTACAAAGTTTGGATTCCCCAGATAAGATTCTACGTTGACTAGCCATAACAAGGCGCACGGAAATAGACGAGCATGCTTTGGGTGGGAATGAAGAGCGGAATTTCCAGTTATGTTGCTCTCTCTACTTCTGGCAACTGAGTAATCCGAATTAATGAAAGATATTAACCACAGATGAACGAGGGAAGAATGAGTAATATTAATATTTGTTGTATTTTGTTTACTCAGTTATTTGTTTTATCTGGATATGATTAAAGATACATATAGACAAAACTACTTTGATTGACATTTATCAGAACGGCACTCATATGTACAGCTGTACACACACCATACACACAGTCGCACGCACACACACGCACACCTACGCACATGCACAGCCGATGAGTCACGCCGCAACATTCGTGGAAGATCGTGTGTGGAAACGTTGTTTTAAGGCAGATTAATATCCATATTCTCTATTTAAGGTTGATAAACGAGTCTTCGTTGGACGTTGGGTAATAATGAGTAAGGAGAATTAAGCATGGAGAGAAAATCTGTTACTTTTCTAATGATCTAAATATCTGATTGTTTCTGGAATTGTATTACGTTGGTGAATCGTACGAAAAGCATTTCAAGTTCGCTTTGAGAGTCGAAATTCTAGTGACATAGCCTGTCTATTTCTCCTTCTCTATCTCTCTCTCTCTCTCTCTCTCTCTCTCTCTCTCTCTCTCTCTCTCTCTCTCTCTCTCTCTCTCTCTCTCTTTCTCTCTCTCACTAACTCCTAAAAAAGGGCAATGCTTGTCCCCGACCTCTTATCTCTCAGCAAAGTCATTATGCTTCCAAATTCCTGACTGATTTCACCCAAGCAGGACCGTCTCGCCACATACAAGAGTGCTCTCTCTCTCTCTCTCTCTCTCTCTCTCTCTCTCTCTCTCTCTCTCTCTCTCTCTCTCTCTATATATATATATATATATATATATATATATATATATACATATATGTATGTATATATATATATATATATATATATATATATATATATATATATATATATGTATATATATATATATATATATATATATATATATATATATATATATATATATAAAAATTATACACATATATATAATATATATTTATACATATATATATATATATATATATATATATATATATATATATATATATATATATATATACATATAAATAATTAAATAAACATATATATATATATATATATATATATATATATATATATATATATATA